TGGTGGGTGTGTGGGTGTGTGTGTGTGTGTGTGTGTGTGTGTGTGTGTGTGTGGAGGGGAGCAGAGCATAACCCCCACGAAAGGAGGGCGGGGGGTATTACTGTATTACCTTTGAATGTCTCGTCCAATTCGCTCTTCCCAAACACCACTCCCAGATCATGGATGGCGCACGTGTGGAACTGCACCCTGAAGACAACATCCCTGGTGGGGTTTCTGTAGCGCTTGTGGTAACACTTGAGCTGCGGCAGGTGAGTGTAGAAAGATGTACGGGTGGCGTGAAGACAACAAAATGATCAGGCGTGATCAGAATGAGCAAGGAGGAATCCCTCACCAGGATGTCGCCTTTTAGCAGGAGGCCGGGTTCAATGGTGATGCAAATACTGGTGTTGCCATCTCCCTGCACGTTGCTGTGTAAAAACAACAGCATCTCATAAAAAACAAATGCATTCAAAGCGGCACCAAACTGACAAGTTGCCAATGATTGCGTACTATATTCCCGACGTATAGACTGGCTGCATCGCCTGGTAAATCTTTAGGAATGGACGGCAGCCTGGGAAGGACAAACAGAGAATGGACATTGATCTTCACTTTATTTCTCACTACACCAAAGTACCCGATAATAATTGTAGGGTACACACTCACCTCCTTTGGACTCAAAGTTGGGAATTCCGTGCATGATGACGTGGTGCAGGAACAGGGGCTTGTTGTTGATTTTTATGTGTCCCGACAAAAGACCATTAAAGTATCGCACATACCTAAAGAGCAAAGAATGGGTTGAACAGAGCCTACTTGGATTGATTCCTTTCCTCATTTGTTCCCAGGTGGACCGTTTACGGGAATCAGTGAACTTAATGTGCATGTATTTGTAATGTGGAAGGAAATCCCACACAACCTTCACACAGGGAAGGCAGAGTTTCTCATTTGTGACGAAGACATGTTACCTTTTATATGTCACTTTGCTTTCTGTGCCTACTTCCCCTCTAACCCAAATAAATCATTTCATTAAAAAAAAAAAAAAAAATCATCGAATGTGAGCATTTCTTTCCCCACAGTCGGATGTGCTGCTCCTGTTTCCTGAGATTATTCCACCCCGGGCCACTGTGGAACGTGCTAGGGTGAACTCTTCTGAACGGTTGGGGGTCTGGTGCATTAGTTGTTCAACATCGTTGTGAGGAAGCTGTAGGACATCACCTTGACCATGAGGAGGCCAAATGCCTTGATCCGCTGATGGAAGCCGGATGGTTTAGTTAGCTGGGATCTCATAGGTGGAAGGAAGGAAGCAAGCAAGGAAGGAAGGAAGGAAGGAAGGAAGGAAGGAAGGAAGGAAGGAAGGAAGGAAGGAGCCAAGGCTTGTGATCCAAATGTTTTAAAGTGCCCATTTTCGGGCCAAGTTTTCATCTGCCGCATTTGGGAGTTCTGGTGAAAGTTAATTTTTCATGTTGAAAGTTCTAACTTCCTTCAGATTCTGTAATGTAATATAAAATAACCTTATGACACAATATACTTACATGTTATATAATCGGTTTTAAATGTAAACTTGTACAATCACACAGCAGCAACTGAGCTCATCCCAGTTTTAATACATCGCGTTCATAATAGCAGGCGGATGAGAGCAGAGATAATTATGTCTGATGCGGGAAATAGCTGCACCGTTGAGGATGACCCATCAGATTTTCATTCTCTGTAACCTTCTTCCGATCTCCCTCCTCTTAAATTCTGTGATTCCGCAACATGCTTGATGACATCATCTCCAGTCATCACAGAGGCGGAAAACAGATTTGGCTATTCACCACACTCTCTTGGGACCTCTCTTGGCATGAGTGGAATCCCTCAAACAAGCACAGTAGATGCCATGACATTTTCACACAATTATCCCAATTCAAACTAAATTGCAGATGAGAAAAACGCTTTTCCTGTGTACAGGAATGGACCACATTTGGACCAATCTTGGAAAATTAGGTGGTTTGGAAACATGGAGTGTATACTTTGTACTGCGTGACACGCATACATTTCCAAACAGGGAGCGAGGGAACAACAAACCTTCTCTGCGAGGGCTGGCCCATAGGAAGCGCTTTGTCCTCATAGAAACGCCTCATGGCGAACCTGTCCAACGCCTGGTCAGCGCTGTAAATGTAGATGAACAGTGGCATTACGGGAATCTTTTGAAGAATCTTCCGACAGAGTTTCAAAGTATCTCCAAAGTTCTAACAACATCTGCCTGCATTAAAGAATGATGACTCTCCCCGAGCTGCTCGTTCTCAGAACCAGAACAATAAACCAGCCGGGATGACTTGTTTTGCCACATTCATCACACAGCGGACTCTCACACACCTCAAGGCTTCCGAGACCGGGCGATCAAAGTTGAAGAAGAAAAGCGGAATTCAACAACACCGGCAATCTTGAAGTAGTGAATTCCGAGAATGTGTTCGCTACCTTGCCGATATGTTGCTGTAGTGCATGTAGGCTGCCACCACCACCCCCGTCCGACCTCGGTTTCCCTGTAACACCAGAGAGGCCATAGTGTCATGCACGTAATGTACAAGTTCATTGATTTGTGTTGTCTGTACGGGTTTACTTTGTTGTGAAGCACCACGACATTGTGCTGGTCGCCGTTGAGCCACGTGTCGATGGCCTTGCACATGCTGCAGATTTTGTCCAGCGGTGGCGCGTGGTGGTCTGGCCAGCCGAACTCCAGCACCTGCACAAGCCAAGCGAGTAAGAACCTTCTCACGTCATGTTTTCCTGCATCGTACCCGTTTTTACCTTGGGGTTTAATGCGGCTAGGTCGTTCCTCAACTCACTCAGGTTGAGCACCTAACATTCGGAAGACCAAATAGAAATGCATCAAAGCCCACATAAAGAGTGTTGGATTAATCCCAGGGCCATTCCTCACCAGGTAGTGGTCACCGTGTTTGGAGCGCAGCATGGCCGCCACCTCCTTGAGGTGGGCGATGTAGCTGCGCTCCTCGGCAGTGGCAGGAAAAGAGAAGGAGATGATCCTCTCTGTGATGTAGACCAGGTCCACTTCATAGCTCTCCTCCATGTCCTGGACCATACTCTGACTCCTGGTGTGGGCAAGCACGAAGCAGGTTACGCATTACAGTATTTTCTCTTGCTTTATCGTGTTATCAGAGCAGAGATTGTAATTATTGCGACCTATGCACACATCAGAGAAAAGGGGTTCATTTTCCACAAATTCAATGGGTAACAAAGGAGAAGTCGTCCATGTTCAGTCCAAGTTTGTTTGTTTGTGTGTATGCGGCATGACCGCGGTAGATCTTACCGTGACTGCTTTCGCTTTATTTCGGCACTCTTGCAGGACCTGGCTGACCCCTGAAGGGAGGAAGGGCAAATAAATCATAAGCAAATGCATGTTTCTGAATGGTACTTTACTGCCGATTCAGATATTTGACAGAATCACACCGTGGACAGGATTAATATGACTCCTCTTTTTGGAAGCGAGTAAGGTGGGGATGTGTCGAAGATGGCAGCACGCAAGACAACAATATGAAACAATTTTGCAGCACAGAGTGTGTGGTGCCCACAGGCCACAGCTGGAACTAGCCTTGAGAGCCAAAAGGGGACGCCTCCTCTTCAGTGCTCTGACAAGCACCAGATGTGGGGCAGGCCTCAGACACTGTTAAATGAGGGCTCAGCACATAACATCACAACAGTCGGTGGTCTTGTAGCAACATGTATGGAAGCTGTTAGAACTGCAGGAGGGATCAACCTCCAATGATCATGTGTCCCAATACTTGAGTCTATATAACGTACATAACAGTGGAGCTCAGAGCTCGGATATGCTTATAATAATCTTGGGAATTCCAAAGGGCTTTATAAACCCTTTTCATAATATTACGGTAGGCGCCAGTGGTAGAAAATTGACTTCCACTGACTTGAACTGAAATCAATGACAAAAACTTTACGATGCACAGTAAGATATACCATAAAAGGTTGAGGTATCTTTCAATTTCCTTGAGAAAAAAAATCGAAATCAAAACTAATCCAGCATGACTTACGGATAAGGAAAATAAATCGAGTGCAAGTCGCAAGATCACAAGACTTTTCAGAGGCTGAGTAGCCACTCCAAAAGGAACTGACTCGGAACTAAACCAAACCAAACCAAATCAGTGAATTTGTGGAAGACATGGTTGGGTTGTCTTGAAGACAGTGAGCAAATATTAATGGCTAGCTGGTCACCTCTATTGCATATTATCTATTTCCCCCTCAAAAAAAAACCCTTCTGTTCCATTAATCCAAGCAACAGAAAAGTTCCTCCCTGATCATGTTCACCACATTCGAATCAAATTAGCTGTCTTTACTGTTTGTTGTATATGTTAATTTGCTCCATGTACAGCACTTTGTATGCAGCGATGGCTGTTTGAAAGTGCTCTATAAATACAGTTGAGTTGAGTTGAGTCTAAAATATAACTGAAGGCTGAAGCAATTGACTTGATGCAACATCTTTATACTGACACGTCACATATTCAAAAGTACGGTAGCAGAAGGTTACGGACGTGTGTTTGACGTCATTCTAAATGAAAGTGAGAGTGAAATCTGCTCTCCAATGTGGGCGGGGCCTACCTTGTTGACCAGGTGACCTGTGCTCCACCTCCAAGTTAAACGCAGGAAGGGAAAATGCCTCTGAAAAGAGCCGCCGAGAGGCATGGCCGATCAGGCTGCCAGATGCTTTTTGTTTGGAATATCAAAATAAGTGAGAAAACTTAAAAAGTTTGGCAGGATATGACTATGTCCGGTGAGGCTGCATTGCCCTCCACACGGGTTCCCATGGTGGACAAAGATGCTGCATGATGCTGCTTCTGCCAACGGGAGATGTTTTTCCAACATACTTTGCCTCCTTTGCAGCGGCTCCTCCCTCTGTCTCATTATCTCTGCTTATTCCCAACTCCCCCACAACAGTTTCTCCCTTCTTCCCAAGCCGAGTGCTGTTGTGCACTTCCTTCGTACTGTAAACATGAGATGCTAACTGTAATTACCCTTCACAATGAAGTTCCTGAGCTTAAAATAGTTGCAACCGGCTTGCATTATCCTGCAGCTGTGGTTGAAATGAGACTAAAATTGTTTCGTCGTGCATGAGCCCGTTGTTCATTCCACCAATTTACAGCACGTTACACTAGGTTGTCCCCGGAGACAGAAATTGATTTTAAAAATCCCGACAGAGCACTTCCTTGACCCAGACACCCGTGCACGATCTCAATTACGTTCAGTTTTCGTGGCTATGTTTTATATGGAGGTTTTCAATGGGAAAGGGGGAACAAAAAAAAATATCACGCCTTCATCTCTTCGTCCAAAAGAATTGCACTGTACTTTTAAATATCAACTCATCATTTTCAACTCCTTGCCAACTGTGAAAATCACAATAGAGACAATTATAAGTGTCATTTCTGCCATTTTTAGTGCAAGTATGTCAATTAGCGATGCCATATTTCCCCCCTGATTTGTTGCCAAAAATATTCACTGTTACAGTTTAGTGTGAAGCATTCAGTCCACGGATAACAGAAAGACCGAACAACAAACAAGCCTACGTTTCAGTTCATTTCATTTCAGATTGTGCAGTGTACATAAAGAAAAGCTAAAAGAGGGATTTTGAGCCTTTCTTAACACACAACTATTACACTGAACACAACTTTAGGTCAGGTAAACGTTCCTTGTATCGGTCCGGAACCTATTACGTGTCACCCCGTGTCTTTATTTTTCACACCAGTTTGCGTGACCGTCAATCAAATGATATTTAACACTGCAGATGTGGACTGTGAAAGTGTGACCTTTGAAAGCATGTGTGGAGCCAGAAAAGATATGCTACTTACCGGAGTATCTACGTGCTTTAAGGGCAGCTGAGGAGTGGGAGGCTGTGGAGACAAACCAGACAGCCGACTGATTAGTCACAAAATTCCAAATGTTGCCACGCTAGTTATTTGGAAGAGAATTATTTACACATAAGTACATGTGGTAGGGGGGGGGGGGGGAAAACAAAGTGGGTTGGGTGACAAAGAGATGAACTACAGCTACTGTACGGACAAAACATAAGCACGTAGCCATCTCTCCCCACATGTATCCAGGAAAAATAGTTCAGCAATGTGTTTAGTTCAGCTCTATAAACAAAACTTGGGACTGTTTATAAGCTGCATTGGTCATTTTAAAGGGCCCGCATCCAAAGTAAATAAGTGCAAAAAAGTGACTGCTAGGAATGTTCCTAATTTGTTCAGCTCTTCAAATAGGCGAAGGCATCCAGCAAGCAGCATCAAATTCTTGACGCGGTCCTCAGTGCGACACAAAACGAGTCTTGCAAAAGATATAGAGTGCAGGTGTCAAATTCATGGGCCAAAAGCCAGATTCGGTCCACCACATGTTCTTATGCGTTTGGCCCTCAGAAGCAAATCATGTCCTCCAACTTCATTCTTCTTTTCAATTTTAAATTGGCTTTACTTTAAATACCAGTGGGAAATTTGAAGCATTTTTACATCATCGAGCCCCTTTTCATAACAGATTTAAATTATTCATTTAATAGTTGAGCAAAAATGATCTTCCTTGACTTCTGATTTAACCTTTTCACGCACCCTGTATCCTAATAACATGGTAAACTGTCCACTGTAGTAACCGCTGTCCCTGAAAGGGTTACAATGTAGCTATCCATCAAATTGTTGTGTAAAAGTTCTAAAATGATGATGTCACAATGTCGCCCTGAGAGCAAGGGAAGGAAGCTTTATTGAGATAAGTTATGTGCTTCACATAAAAGTACATTTCCAAACAAAAGAGGTAAAGATATCTAAAAGCAAAGCAAAGAAATAAAAAGTACAATTACTACAGTGAGACCGCATACAATGTGGCCTGCGACAAATCTGAGTTTGACACCCCTGCTTTAGAGCCTGACCTGTGACCCTCCTGCAGCAGCTCGCTGTGTTTGTGGGTGGCTTTGCCCACAATTCCAGGAAGGATCATGAAATTGGAAAAAGGCATTTGAGCGGGTGGAAGGGATCAAGCAGTAAAGGTGTCTGTGGCACATTCAGGTGCGACGCATTGTACTCACAAGCTCATAGTTGGTGCTCGTTTGACACGCCGTGGTGACCTGTAAGAGCAGAGAGAATGTGTGAAGGACTGTGATTCTGTTTTCTTCCATGAAACCGCCTGACTCTGCAGATAATAACAAGCAAGGAGATCCTGTGATCATCACAGTGCTTCAGAACTAGAGCGGCTTTTCATAATGTTTTCTGATGTTGCATCTTTAAATAGTAGGAAAGCCCCCACCGGGTCCTCCAAGTATCCATGACAAGAACAACGGCTCCAAATACTCTGTATGAGCATCTCACAGCCACACATCACTGATTCGGATCCAACAAGAGAAGGAACTTTACACATAAACATGAGCTGCTGCATGTTTGCGCGCAGTGAGCGGGACGCAGGCTATCAGTGGCCAGCAGGCTCCAGTGGGAAGGAAGCCACCATAATTAGTTTGCACAGTGAGAACAAAAGCCCGGTTGGCATTTGCTATCATGGAGTATTTCAAAACACAGGAACTGGAGCGGTACTGTTGATATGTCACGTGATGGCAGACCTGGCAAACATCGCTGATCAAAGTCACCATTTTGCTTTCATGCCAACGGGCACTCTTTTTCACTTCCCGCGACCTCGCTTGACATTAACACAACTGGCTTGGCGCACAGTAGCTGTATCATTAGAGCATGTCATTTCATTTGCAGCAGTAATGTATGACACATTGCGGGGGTTCTCAACTCGGGTTACGCAAAGATTCACATTTTCCCGCAATCATTAAGTCGCAAGCCACTTTTATAGACATAAAATCAAGTGAATGTATTCATGCATCCATTATCCAAACCACTTATCCTCACGAGGGTCACGGGTTTGCAGGAGCTTATCCCAGCTGTCTTCAGGCAGCAGGCGAGGTACACCCTACCCTGAACTGATTGCCAGCCGGTCGCAGGCAATTGAATTTATTTTGCAATAAATGCCTTTGAAAAACATCTCAACTGTTCAAACAGTTGTGCATTACAGAGCATTGTTAAGGAACAAAGACATCCCTGAAATACCGTTGAATATCACAGCCCAAAATGAGAACATTCTATGTCAAATATCATGTTACCTTTCTAAATTGCTGCCCACGAAACACTGACGACAGTTCTGTGACCCGACAGGATGTTTGTCGTTTTGAAGGTCAAGCAGCATCAGAGATGTGGATAATGAGACTCGAGAGAAGTGTGACGACAGACCTTCACTGTTAACATTTCTGACTGCGTCTACCCTGACTATATCCTTATAAGGCGGCTGATGTGGGAAGCTAATACAGTCTTCATGTGGTATTCGCCTGCTGAGTCACATAAGAGCACAGGAATATCTTGGAGGTCCGACCATGCGCCACGACATTCTGGTTGTTAGAATAAACAAAATAAAAAAAAGCCTCAGCCAGTTTGGTCCTTTCTTACCGAAATGAAGCATGCATCCGAGTGTCTATGGTGAGCTTCCTTTCCAGCCTCTCTTTGCTCCTTCAGAGCAAACCCACGGGCAAAGAACAATTCAAATAATCCAGAATGGAGACAAATGAACTCGAAAAGGGTTCAGCCATGATGAAACACAGAGTTTAAAATCGCATCACATCACAAGGGGCTTCTGGGAAGCCAGTGACCTCTAGCACAACTCATAAGAGATGATTCTTTTCCTCAGGTCTGCTCCTCTTTTCTTTATTCTCTCTTCTCAATAGTTAACAAGGAAAACGTTGCCAGGTGGTGGGCACCTTGGCGGTTCGATCTACGGCTACAAAAAGCTGGCTCGAGGCATGTGGAATGTCACCATTTGGGGAGGGAAGAAGCCGGAGCATATTCCGGTGAGTTTGACGTAGAAGCTCTTGCGCAGAACGCTGACCGTAATCCCATCGAACACCTTTTGGGATGAACTACAACAGAAAGCATGAGCAGGCCCTCAAGCCCAACAGCTATACCTCACATATGCTGCAATATTTGTGTCGCCTTTATTAGGGCCGGACCAATTCATTGTTTGTTTGTTTATTGTTTATTGAACATATAAATATATATAGTAATAAAATGACAGAAAGTCAGTAAAATTGTAAAAAAAAGGAAACGAAAACAGTCATCATACAGCACAATTATATGTTCAAAGGAGTAGGAAGAAGTAAAAAAAAATTATCTAGTCCTACCCCTTGTTATGTATTAATATACAGTATAAATAGATCACATTTTATATTAATCAGAAAAGGAAAAAGTCTGCAAATAAACAAATGCTTTTACCCTTATATGTGCTCTACTTATCTATTTTTACAACTTTTGGTTTGTATAGGGACTATATACATACACACCCGAGCACATTTACATGTCGATTTTCTCTTGTCCGATATTCGCTTGTGGCTGCCCAGTGGTCGACTGGTTGGCATGTCGGCCTCACAGTGCAGAGGTGCAGGCTTCGATTCCGGCTCCGGCCTTCCTGTGTGGAGTCTGCATGTTCCCCCCATGCCTGCGTGGGTTTTCTCCGGGTACTCCGGTTTCCTCCCACATTCCAAAAACATGCGTGGCACATTAATGGAACACTCTAAATTATCCCTAGGTGTGAGTGGGAGCGTGAATGGTTGTTCGTCTATGTGTGCCCTGCAATTAGCTGGCAACCGGTTCAGGGTGTCCCCCGCCTACTGCCCCAAGACAGCTGGGATAGGCTCCAGTACGCTCCGGGACCCTTGTGAGGAGAAGCGGATCAGATAATGGATGGATGGATGGATATTGGCTGTTTCGGCAAAAGTCTTAATTTTTTTTTTTTTTTTTTTTGCCCATTATTTGTGTATTTTTAGTTTATATGTTTTTTACACATTAAAAGAACACATTACAACATAAGTCAATACATTCCCACATTCTTCCCCTGTATAAAAAAACAAAAAGAAAAAAAGAAGAAAAACAATCAGCCAAAGTTAAACAAATAATAAAGGACAAAGTAAGGTAAATCCGTCAAATGTTCTGCCTGTGATTCGGATTTTTAATGTTTTAAGAGACCAAAAATAGTCTATTTATTAATTATATATTTTTAAAAATTAATCTGATGATTAAGCAGTTTTTTTGGGGGCTTTTTTTGAAATATCTGAATGAGCCTAAAAAAAGTCCATATCAGTCAGGCCCTACTCTATACCGTGTATATATCATCTAATTGACGTAGAAGTGCATTGGCTCCAGTGGAGCAACCACACTCACAATTCCAGTGGCTATCCTGCTGATCTAGCGCCACATTGATGGCTGCTTGCCTGTGAAATTGAATCCCACGCTCACCAAGCAATGGCCAAATAAGGACCGAAGCTAAAAAAAAAAAAACAACCTCTGGATGGATTTAAACATGCTGGCTCTCTGTTTTCCTTTGGAAAGGGAAGAAATCCACAAAGTGCCATAACAGTGGAGAGAGTGCCTGTTCATCTCTGATTTGACATTTTGAAATGAGGGTGGAATGATGCTGCACATGCTATAGGACAATTCCCCTAAAACACAGGCAATAGGTTTGCGTTGGGAGCTATGTGGAAATAACTTCCTGGCACATAATCTGATGGATGCATAAATGTCATCACATTATTTCCGTCTCTCCTCAGGAAAGCTGATGCGAAATGTTCTGTTTTAACTCCTGACATCAACTGTGATTTCAGCAAGATATAACACATCGGCTGCCTAGAGCACAGCATACTCATATATTTAGGATGAGCTATCCCCCCAACCGCCGCAGTTGCGTGATGGCTTTGTGGTCAAAAAGGAACTTCATAAAATGACGGACAAGATGCTGAGAACCCGGGTTGAGAGAGAAAGTAACTGTTGGATCACAATCAGGCTACAGTGGGCGGCAAGTTGGGCCAATCATGACTGCTGCTACAAAATACACCTTTAAATAAGGAACTGATGATGATCATATGTGCAATTGCAGCACACTTTGGACACAGAAAACCTGGTCGGAAATGCTGCAGTAGGATTTAACACCATGATTGCTTGTTCTAAACATTGTTTATTCTTTCACTTATGGGGGAAATCTGCATGCAATTTGTTGATGTTCATAAATAATCACGATGTTGCTATTGGACAGTAATCACTTGTAGGCTTGTAATGGCCTTCGAAGAGCACAGTGAAGTCAGAATAAAGATATGCATTGTGATGGAATGCAAGCCCACAAGGCTCTATAAACACATTTCTTGCAAGAGTGGAGCTGCCTTCGTACGCAGCTGCCTCATGTGTGCTTTTACAGTGAAAACACTTTATTCAACACTCTTTCATGGGTCAAGCTGGTTTCGCATTGTCGAAGGGACCGTGTGGATCCATGATTCGTACTGAGTTTCCCACATTTCCTTTGGGGTCGTTCTCGAATGGGTAAACATGTAACCTTCCCTGAGGGGAACCCAGTTCTATAAGAAGAGACAAACAGCTGCTCTATTAACATCGGTCTTCGCCTTACGACGCTCAAGGGACGCATGACTAGCGCTCTTGTTATGGGAAAGGTGAGAAAAAGGTGAAATGTTTTCCTCTCGAGATTCACAAGCAAATTAAGAATATTGGCAGGCTGTGCCATACCCAACGGCGGTACAATAAAACTGAATTCCTACGTTTTGTTAGGAAGGAAAGGGGACATGCAAGCCCCCTGACCTCCCAGCCACTCAAATTTAGCTGCTGTTGAAGGTCTGAGAAGAGTGATTGGCAACATCAGTTTTCTCAGAAGTGAAGGGGGTCAGAGTGTGAAAAACTGCATGAACTATATAAAGCTTCATTTTATCTCGTGCAGGTTTACAATTGTTATACATACACTTCAACTACACTTTTAAGGAGGTTTCCAAGAATCAAATTCCTTCTAAGCCATGATGGAACTTCAATATCAACATTAAAAAAAACAAAAAAGCAAAACACGCATACCAGTTAAAATGTCTTCAAGTTTCTCTCAACACAAAATTGCCATTTCTGTGAGCATGCAATTGGTGAACGTACCCTAAAACAACTCTTACCTGTACGCTGGAGCTCATTCCTCTCTCCTGTTCTGCCTGCTTTCTAACTTTGCATTTCCACTGGCTGCACAACACCTACCAGCCTCACCCCCTTCTCAGAGGACGGAGGCAAAAGAAGGAGCGCCAAATACAGACACTTTTGACCACCTCCTCAGTCAAAAGCCTCCCCCGCCCCCCTCACTCCAAACACCAGCCGTAATCCCGGACACGTGCCAGAGAGCTACTGAAGTCGACTGTGTTCATCCACTGGACTGAACCAGGAAGCACTTTTTGTGCTGCTGGCCCAGACTCCTCTATCAGCTGCCAAGTAGAATCCAAACACACTATATAAGGCCAAGAAAGCAGTTTGGGGCTGCTCGGTGCCCAAAGCAAGACAATAACTGTATCCCTCCCTCTCTGAGCCCTGTCTGTCTAATTCCCCTGTCCGCAATCCCTCTGTCCGCACTTTCTTTCAAAGAGAATACTGTAATTAGCATTGCATTAGCAACGCCGTAAAACTGCGTGGGGGGGGAAAAACAGAATCAAGCTATCGTGGCCTGGTGAGCAAGTGGCAAAGCTGGAGGTTTAAATCCGGGATCCGGCCCTCCTGTATGCAATGAATCTTGACTTCCTCCCACACTCCGAAAATATGCTTCTCATCAGAAGGTAAGCAGTATAAAAAGTGGAGGATGGAGGGATGTATGGAATCAACATACAGTGGCCGCAACATGTTTCTGTGACAATACACACATATATATATTTAGGCAATTGAATTGCCACAACCGAGCAAACGACAACATGTTAACAAGGCCTGATGGAGAGTTGTGCACCATGCAGCTACTCTCTGACAAACTCCACAGCGATGATCCATCCTACAGCTGGCATGCAGTGGACTTTCACACATGTGCTGATATGAATTCAAACCTCAAGGTGCTCCGAACAGGAGATGCTCGTGTTGATGCGCACGTCACTTTTAGCCCATTGCACATGAAAGAGGAGTTATCTGCCAATAATGTCAGTGGCACAAAAGAGCTGATGGAAATTCCAATGTTTTTTGCTTTGTTTTTTTCCTGGCTATAAAATGAGGCAACATCGGCATTCCCTCACTCAATGCATGCAATGTAAAACAACATGACATCATAATGATAATTTGATTCAACTGAACATCATGCAAAATGTTTAAAAAAAAAAACTACTACTAAAAGTCATTGAAACTGTATCAATATCAGAATCAGAATCAGAATCATCTTTATTGGCCAAGTATGTAGAACACACAAGGAATTTGTCTCCGGTATAACACGCTGCATTAGTATCATCATAAACAAGGACATTATTGCATTAAAATGACACACCCTACCTCATTTAATATCATGAACTGCATGAGCTTCAGTCGTTCCCATTTTTATTCACATACAGTATAAATCAGGACCTGATTTCGCAAACCCGTGCTTGCTTCCATCTGTTTTGTGTATTTAGGACTCTGTGAACAAACTTCTCTTTAGGGTGAAGTACAATTCTAGCAGCAGCACTGTGTGACATGCCTTCACACACAAAAAAAAAACAAAAAAAAACAACATGTACCGGTAAGTAGTATTTTAAGTAACAAAACCTCAGAGGTACAGTTATGCTCTCTAACCCTGCTTTTTAGGAATATTCAGACATCCCTCCTTGAAATCCTCATGGGCAAATCTCTCCTCTGAATCTTCCAAGCTGCGGAAAACCAATGCAGCAAAAATCCAGGACACACGTGCAAGATGGAAAAAAAAAAAAACAACAACAAGAACAGGGAGTGATATTGACTTTTTGCATCAAGAGTGATACAAAATTGCCGCAAGACTGAATTTGCTTGTTGCTGTGGACATATTTAATATTATGCGTGCCACATGCTGGCAACATCAAACCTTCTTGACACTCTCATCCAAATCATTATAGGCCCCATTAAAGCGTCATAAACAGCATAAAATGTACGAACACCTGCATTAAAGCATTCAAGCAATTGCGTGTGTGGTTAATGATGTCAACAATGGGATGCTAAAGCCTTGAATAAACATAAAAAATAAAATCAATGCGACTGCTGACACATTTACTCTTACAAGGCTGTAGATAAAAGCACAGTTTCCACACGTTTGAGGAATTAAATGATGTTCTCCTTCAAAAGATTTCACGTTCAACGCCAGTCACCAAAACGAGTTTTCCTGGTTTGAGGTGTGTGTGTGTGTGTGTGTGTGTGTGTGTGTGTGTGTGTGTGTGTGTGTGTGTGTGTTTTTAATGCTCCCGCAGACACATTTGAGCCAAAAGAAAAGCAATGAGAACGTCTCGGGTGAGAACTCGGACGACAATTTTCAACATCACTTCCAACCAACAAAAAAACCACTAAGAACAGCCTTGTTCGGCTCTGCCCGCCAAGCCATCATTCTATCATCCCCTTTTCATTTTTCTCTGTTTTCCATTGCGCACTGTGACCATGTGATGACATTAAAGGGCTGAAGTGAGGAAACAGACAGACGGACAGACGGAGCCGAGCGGGCCTGCTGGAGGAAACGGTTTCTATTTGCCAGCTATGAAGGGCAATGAACACATCACTTCCCATCACTGTATTTGTCTTGCACGCATACAGCAGAGTATAAAGTGAAAATCACTCTGGGGTTATGAATTTTACAAGTTAGAATACCTACAGGCCGTGTATTTTTATTTGTGGTGTCATACATGCTCCGTTAGAGCATCAATAACATAAAGACAAATGTCATCTTTGACCCATTATGTTACAGGGCATTGTACTGTGCCTGCAGCCTGAGTGTACCTGTCAGGTCGAGGGGCCGTTGGGGATATAATTCAAGATGCACTCTCACGCACCACTGAAATGCTCTCATACATGACTGAAACACACAAGTTGAATTGCCTTGACAGATTATATTGAAATACGATAGCTTAATATACCAAATGTACTAATTTTTTGGAAATGCACTCATGCATTTGCAGAAATCTCAGCTGCATATATATGACAAACTCCCCCCCCCCCCCCCCAAAAAAAACGGGGGGGGGGGGGGTTGTTCAACTCATTCCACAAATTCCTCAATTCACATGGTGCCTTGATTTTTTGGGGGGATTAGAACAGAAAACAAAACTACATTTGTCCTAACTTTCTGTTCATCTCTCGTTTGCTCATTTAGATTTGTCTTCAGACCTGTTCCTTGTGTCAACCAATCAGCTTCCTCCAGCCAATCATGTCTTGTCTAGGTGTACCTCATTGTCTTGTCAATTTGCCTATATGAGGTTCCCTGCTTTTCCTCACTCTGCGTCAGCTCAGTGTAGTGTCCAATCATGTTTTGTTTCCTTGTGTTTCTTTCAAATATGATTTTATTTTTTGGGAGGGGGAGGAATGTGTGAATTTAGTACTTTGATTTCTTCATGGTTCTTGTTTTCTTTTTTTCTTAATATTGTAAATACTTTCGGGAGATCACCCCTGTCTCCTGCTTCCTCACAACTCCATACTCCACCACACAAACTTGCATGTCTGACAGTTTCAGTATTGTGAGTCAGAGGTCATCCTGGATTACGCCTCCCATAGTTAGGTGTGCACTATAGAGCTGATGCTTGAGGCCAAACGTAAAACAGAGTAAAGTTTCACACAACACACCACCAGTCAGTGGTGAATGTCTTACCTTCACTTCACATTTTTTATGGCAGGACAGCTGACAAGCTGCAACAAGAAAAACAAGTACAGTTTGTTACATATACAGTACAGTGCAAGAAAACACATGCACACACTGTCATGCTTTCTGTCCAGCTCTCTGACTGAGCAGTGAGCTGGAAAGGAAACTGCATCAAGGTCAATCTCCTTCCTTGTACGGTACATGTTTAAGTGTGGTACTGCCCCCAAGTGGCTACTTTTGCACATGACAACCCATTATAGAACATGACAACGGAATTCATTTATTTTAGGGGTGTCCAAACTTTTTCTTCCAAAGGGCAAAATACAGAGAAATTGAGAAATGCGAGTGATTTTCAAATTCTTCACCTTTAATATATGTCATAAGATAAACACGATTAATTTAATACAGAGAAAAAAATATATTTCTCTCTAAAACAGCTCAGTAATGAAGCACAAAGTAAAAGATTCTTTGGGATGTTTGTGTGGCCAAGTACAAAAAACATCAACTAATTTGCCAACATTTTTGGTGTATTAGATAATTAAGTGTAAATTGATCCTCAGTTGGCGGCTCGGTAGTCCAGTGGTTAGCACGTCGACTTCGCAGTGCAGGGGTGCCGGGTTCGAATCCAGCTCCGGCCTCCCTGTGTGGAGTTTGCATGTTCTCCCCGGGCCTGCGTGGGTTTTCTCCGGGTACTCCGGTTTCCTCCCACATTCCAAAAACATGCATGGTAGGCTGATTGAACACTCTAAATTGTCCCTAGGTGTGAATGTGAGCGTGGATGGTTGTTCGTCTCTGTGTGCCCTGCGATTGGCTGGCAGCCAATTCAGGGTGTCCCCCGCCTACTGCCCGAAGACGGCTGGGATAGGCTCCAGCACCCCCCGCGACCCTAGTGAGGATCAAGCGGTTCGGAAAATGAATGAATGAATGAATGATCCTCAGTTCAATAGATCAAAACAATGAGGATGTAGCCACATAGTTTTTCACTGGCTTGACCTCTCCATCATATCATATCATGCTATCAGCACATGGCTCCAGTAGGGGAAAGTACACCCATCGTTGTCACTCAATTCAGAAGAGTAAAGCAAAAACATAAAAATAAAGTCATGTATTTTGAATGCTTTGAAATGGCACAACAGTAACATCAGAATTAAAACAAAACAAAACAAAACAAAAAAACATGTACATAAGCAATCACTGCCTTTGCTCGGGAGAGAGAGAGAGCGAGAGAGAGAGTGCGAGAGAGCGAGAGAGAGAGAGAGAGAGAGAGAGTGCGAGAGAGCGAGAGAGAGAGAGAGAGAGAGTGCGAGAGAGCGAGAGAGAGAGAGAGAGAGAGAGAGAGAGAGAGAGATTATTTTATTTTGTGTAACCGCTCGAATAATTAAAGTTGAGTAAATTCAATGCACCATTTTTTTCAGTGTAGCAACCAATTGCCATATTCACGCAAGGACCATTTGCTGCCCAAAAAAACGTAGTGCATGGAACAAAAGAGGGATGATGGCAATTTTCATGCACTCTCCCTCACATTTCCCCATTTTCTCTGCCTGTTGTGCCCTTCTCCACCACCCCACTTTCCCTCTTATCT